CCATGTGGGGAAAAGCAAAACAAATATTAGTTCTTTTTTCTTTCCCTTTTATCAGCTCCCAGTGTGTCGAACACAAAAGAATGAATTAGTGGAGATACAAGCACTCTTTTTTAGACTAAACAAACTGGAGGACAAAACAAAATTCTACATTATGATAGTCTGTTTCCACTATTTTGTCACTGACTTGACCAAAAAGAACAGTGGGTTGTATCCTACTTTAGTACCTTTATTATAGCAAACTGCTCTCATTCATATAATCCTGTAGAATTCTTCCCCGTTAGGCTACAGCAGACGAGAAGAGTTAATGAAGAAACTCATTTTGTTCAGACTATTTTATTTTAATGGCAGGAGAGCAGACAGCCTAGTCTTTTTCTCTGTTTATACAGCTCCCTGTCCTGCAATATGTAGTAAGCCTAATCTGAATATAGGGACTGTCATTTGATTGTGGTATTTTGACTGCTCATAATGTGGCACCGAGGACATTAACAACATTTAATTTTTCTTAGAATTAGTTTTCTTTTAACTGAGATATAATTTATTCTGCTAAAATTATCTGCCATTTTTTTGCCCTCCACAAGCAAAAACTGTAACTACTTTCCCTTGTAAGGAAGCTGCTTAATTTCTGGCTTTAAATACTAGTTTAACAAGGCAAATTGGCCATTAGCATTTATGGTCCTGGAATGTCTAGGGGATTATCTATTCCAGTTGGAGGACAGATACTTTAGGGGCACTTGGATATGAATGAAAAAAAAAAAAGAACATGAATGTACTTCTCTGCAAGAAACTGCCCTAATGAGAAACAAACAAAACCTTGAATGTAGGCTGCAGGGGCCAAGTGTTCTGTGGTTCACTATGCCGCCAGCAGCAACATCCCAGCCACTTTCCCCATTCAGGTCAAAGCCCAGTGCTGATCAGGTTTTGGAATGAAATTCCACCCTAAGATGCATATAAGAGATTAGCGAGGAGACTGAAAGTGCTGTAAATATATTTTTAAGAAAATTAAACTTGTTGTTTTTTTATTTGTTATAATGTATAAAGATGAGGAAATAAGTTTATTTTGGACTTTTCAATACAGCTGTTTTTCTTAAATATTGCATATTAATTCTGCCCCTCCTGGAGCAGATTTTAAAGGCCTATTTATTTTTATTAATGTGTTAATGTTACCATAGCACCATGCTCTTTTTAAAAAATATAAGTTAGTCTTTGTTGCTCACTGGGTCTTCAAAAAAAACACAAACAACACAACAAACAAACAAAAAAAAATGGTATCCCTTTATTTGGGAGATTCATCTGGAACCTGCTATTCATTACTGTCCAGTGAGCAGGAAACGGGGGCATATTTTACCTCTGCAGAGCCCTGCTGTTAATGTTCTAATACAAAAACTGTGTGTTTTCCAGTTCTCTAACACATTAGTTCTAAGGTTTAAGAAAGTACCAAACTTGTCTCAAGAAAAAGTTGATATATTTGTAACTTATTTTCTTCAAGCCAGATAGTGATAATAAGGATAGTATATTCATGATGTAAATATTGCTTTTTAACAAGAAAGCAGGTTTCTGTGTCTTGAAAAGATGTTAATTTCTTAGCTTTCAAAACAGGCAGTTAAAAATACAGATAATAGTTACTGTAAGAAGGAGTCAGAAACAATTATGACTGTTATCTGCAAGCACATGTACACACCTACAGAAGGTGAGTTCCAATAGATTGAGATCTTGAGCATTTTAAAATGTTTTCTGATACATTAGTCAAATAAGCGTGTATTTTTTTAAATAAATACATATGGCAATTTTGAAGTATTCATGTAGAAGACTAGCAGTTGGCCAGGCAACCATTTGCTATCTTGTTTTTTTTTTTGTGCTATTTAACTAAAACAAAACAAGCAAACAAACAAAAAACAACAGCCAGGCTTTCAAAATCAATGCTATTTCATCACCAAAATGGTAATAATTCAAAAAAAAAGAATATATTAGCATTTATTCTGATTAGCCAAAGGGATTTCTATAAGTGTAGAACTGTAATTCTCATTCATACATTTGCTCATTCAACATGTGAGTTAAAGACTAGAATCAGCAAGTACTCAAACACATATTTATGCCCCTTTCCTGTTGACTGGACTTCAGGCACTTTTAAAGTCTTAATGTATATAGAAGGAGATAAAGCCAAGCATTTTCTGGACTGTTGAGTAGCAGCTCTTGCTGAAATAGTGCCTAGTCTTGGACAGAAGTAAGCCCTCAGATATTGAAAAGTGCACTTAAAAATATTTTCATAGCTTTTTAGAAATTCTGAAAGACTTCACAGTATCTGCCTAGTAAAACATCTCAATTTAGAGTGTCAACTGAAAGCCCAAGCATAGCTCTTTTTTATTTTAGTTCATAGGGAATTACACAAATACATCAATGGGGATTAGTAGGAAATGTGACTGTTCTTAGCCTTAGAAAATACATGTATGTTCAGGAATAATAAAAGATGCTTACTATCACAAACCTCATAAGAGAATCTCTCTCCTTCTTTCTTCTGCTCAGTGGATTGCAAGTCAGAGGCATTAGACAAAGACATGACACATTACAGACAAAGCACAAGGCACATATTTTGCAAAATTTTCAGATACAAGCAAAACATACCAATACATAAAAAAGCAAAGTATGGTCCGATACAAATGTTAAAGTAAAGCTGACAGTACAGATTACAACACAAAACACTCAGTGCTGATAGAACTTTACAGATCATTAGCATATTTCTGTGAAATAATGCTAGGTCTTTCTGGCATTGCCAGGGCATTAAATAGTTCTGCATATACTGTTTTTGAAATTCTGATTTTCTTTGCAAGCAGAAGTGAAGGCTGTTAGTGGGTTGAAAACATGGTGCTAATGATCTCTAAGGAACTTTGAGTGATCCTGGAAAAAAATACAACTCACCTCCTTCCCTCCCATGGACTCAAACATTTTCTCAAGCTGGACTCGTAACTGTTGAATGTTGTTCATCAAGATACAGGACTACAAAGAAAACACAAAATGTGCAAAATAGGTATATTTCTTTTACGCATGAATACGTGCATTCATAGTCTCTAGGCTAAAGGCAAGTTCTTCAGCAGACCTACATTCATGCAGTTAGGTTCTTAGAGGCAAATCTGTGTTTCCTGAGCTCTGCTGCCTCTCCTTCCTTATTTCACACTCCTCTTTGCCCAGCCAGCAAACCCACACAGCCAGTGACTGTCTATTATGCCCTTAAGACAATGTCTCCCCCCAGGAGACTGTATACCTTCTCCCAACCAGCTGGGCAGATTTCAGATCTCAGCGTTTCACATTCTGAACCTTACATGCCATGTAATTGCTAGTCATAATTGATATAATTACATTTTGAGGATTAATCACATACATTATTATCTACTTTAGAACATATATAATAACAACCAAAGTACTTTGAGAGTGAAAATAGATGGGGGAGAGACTGGTTCCTAGACCCAGTCTTTGCAGAAAACTGTGACAGCTTTGTAACTTAGAAAATGGCTGATGTATAACTATGTGAATAAAACAACACATAATTCTTTTAATAACAGAATATTATTCCAGAAGTGTGTGTGTGTGTATATATATATATATATATATTATATTTTTTTTTTTGTCAAAATATTTGTGAATAGGCAGGATTTTCTTTTCACTGCTGCATGGAGAAAGCACAGAGTGATAGTAGCAGAAAAGTCTGCACACACTCCCTTCACAAGAAATAATGATCTTACAAACTCCTCCATGAATATCACTGATAAGAGAAGCAAGACAGTGCAAAATGAAAACTCAAATGGATTTTTTTTTTCCTTGGAAAATTTGAAAAAGAAAAGATGAGAATGTATATTCACCACTTTTACTTTTGGAGTATGCCATTGTATAAGGAATCTAGGCAGAAACAGAACACAGATTTTTACTCACCACATTTTCTTTATCACAATATGAGCTGAAGCAATTTGAAATAATTGCAGCATATTGAAGCAGCACCTTGTTGATAGTCTAGGAGAGGAGAAGAAAGTTTTAAATGGTATCATCATGCAAAACAAAAAGTGAACATAAAGAGGTTTGTAGAAGCTATAGATTTTACAAGCTGCTTAAATATTCTGTATATTTTATTTAATTTCAGATTTAATTTAAACAATCCTGTGAACACATTTTCAAATCCTTGCATGGCAGATGGTATTTTGTTCTTAATGGAATGTAATCCTCAATACTAGAGGGACTATTGTTGTCATACTGATTTTGAGAAGCACTGAAGGCTCTAGTCCTTTGCAGTGTGCTACATACGTAATGGAAGAGTAGCAAACTCAAAAATCCTCTAGGGTGACAATGCATAGATTAAAAATATAATGGAAAAATAAGACCAAGAGAGCACTTTTCAAAGCTTAGCAATATGAGCTTAGTTTGCAATAACCATGTAAATAAGAACTTTGCAAATGGAAAAATGTTGCAACGAAAACACAGGAATAGAAGTAAATGCAAGCTATTTTAAAGAAATCACAGCTATATTGGAAATACGAAACTTGGGAGGAAGCACTGCAATCCAAATAGACAGCTGGCCTAAGTTAAGTTTATCAAGCAGCAGGTGAATAAGAACTACCACCTCAGGGCTCCAACCAACAATGCTTTATTGCCATACCTTGAATTTTACCTTCCCTTGCACTGACTAATTAGTAACATTTCTCTGAGCTGCTCTATTATTTGGATAGTAATCAGTACTTAGCAAAAATAATAATTGACTATATAAGCAATACATACATATGAAATCTCAGGATATAATTTCATAAACTGGTAAATGATTTTGTGAAAGTAGATGAAAATAGTGTTTTAAGAACAAACCAGGCAGTATGTATTTCTAGTCACAGCTAGAAGGGATTGCTTTTGAATAACACCGGAATTAGCTTTTAAGTACAATGTCAACACAATGGCACTCTCTTAAATTTATGTGAGATGCACTGATTTTAACCTACCTTTGCAAATCTTCTCATTAAATGAGACAGTGCTTCTGGATTAGGACACTCCAGTTTCCTGATAATCTCAAAACTTTGATTGAGCTGCGTGAAGACATCAACCACAGAACAAGAAAAAAGGGCATGATCTGATGTTTGCTGAAACTAGAGAAAGAAGACATTCAAGTGAGTTAATACTTGTTTGAAATGTATAACTGTTTTTGAAATTCCTCCTAGAATCAGAATAAGTAACAAATAAATAAAATCTTACTGGTAGTACTGAGAATTGTGATTTTTTACCTTTATGTTACTTTCAGTCCCCTTAGAAGTAAAATCAAAATTCTCTTTCATGACATCAGTATCACATAATTGTTAGTAAAGCTATAGACTGAAATCTATGAGGAATTTAGGCAGATGGAATTGGAGCAGGAGTTTGTTCATAGGGTTATCTTTTAAGTATTGTTACTGACACTTTATTTTAGGAGGCCTAATGAGCATACTGCAGGATCAAGTGTACTTCTGGTTTTGCAGTACTAAATAATTGTGTTGCCTTAGTACATTCTTTTTCTTTGCTTTAAAAAATAAGGACTCACCCCATCTTTTTTGTCTCTTTCTAGTGCTCCATGAAGAAACTCCATTGAGACATCCTCATTTTCATCCAGCCACTGAATGACAAATGGTTCAAACCACCTGAATATTAAAAACAATCTTGTAAAGTACATTCCATAAAGATCCTGAGAGAAGAGGTGCCACCCCACCCAGCAGTTTGGCACTTTATGCCTCCATATTTGTTCTAGTTGCCAAAAAGTCTTTTAATCCTAGAAAAAAAATGTCACCAAAGGTACTGTTGCTACCAAAATGTCTTTCAGGCTTCATCTCCACACTATTCTAAATGGTCTACCCCAATGATGTAGAATTTGCAGTTGCCATCAGACAGATGCACCCATATTTTGCAGGGGATCATATTCATATTTATTTTAAAATGTCTCTTTTTTCAGTATTGCTTCTTTTTAAACTTTTTTTATTGTTGTTATTTGCATGTGAAATAATGTGGAGAAAGGTTTTCTTTAATAAAATGTCAGCTGTTCAATTCTTATTCAATTTACTTAGATTTTTTTGAAGCAGTGAAAGCTGCCCAATCCTTTTGGCAAACCAGAAAACTTGCTGAAGATTAAAGACTGTAAATAAATATTGCTCATACAAAAGTGGACGGTTGAATATATTAATTTCAGAAGGAAAGGTGAAAATGAAAACAGCAGATAAATATTAATCAATTGCAGTGACAATAATCTCAGTAATGTATCCCATTAGTTTTGTATCTTGATCCAGATTTGTGTATGAAATGAATGCAGGGGTCAAGAACTAATATTGCTGCTGTTCTCACATTTTCCTCCTTACTCAGGAAGTAAGTAGTTCATTTCCTTACTCAGGAAACTTAACTATTAACAGTTTTAAGAATTAATTTTACAGAATGAAGAATTAAAAAGGATGAAGTGAAAAAAAGTATATTTAAAATTATTAGTGCTACACCTTTTGATATCTTGCACAAACTTGAGCATAAATTTTTGAAGAAAATAAATTGCACCAAGCCCAAACTCATGGGATACTTCCCTACACACTACTTACAGAGAGTATTCAGGCACTGCATCCTTGAAAGCATGGAGCTCTCGCACATACTCATTATAAAACCATTTCACTTTGAAGTGCAAATTCATGTAATCCGTGCTCTTGCATAACTGCTGCTTTTCATGTTCTGCAATAGAAGGAGTTGAAATAAAAGTATTTAATAACATTTTGACAGTAAATAACATTCTTGTGTCTCAATGCACTATTGATACAATAACAATGCCGTACTTGCATTTTAAAGCCCAACTGGTTTGATTTTTTGTTTTTTTTTGAGGTAGTAGCAACTGTGGAGTTTCTGAGTACCCTTAAGAAAAAACAAACACACAAAAACAAAACAAAACAAAACAGAAACTGACCAAACTACAATTTAGGATTTTCAGCTCTCTTTGCTGCAGTGAGAAAACCTCACAAGTTTACTGACTCTGTTATTTAGATTCTTTGGTTGTTACAAATTCCATAAAAAGCTGTATAGTAACAAAATGCAGTAACAGCTGTACGTGCCAGTCCTATCTGCAAATTCTGCATTTGCAAATGGGCTGCATTTATCACATTCAGTTAAGAATGAGAAAGAGGAGAGAACTTTGCATGTGATTTATAGATGGCATAAGTAGAAAAACTGCCTTAATAAAATGGATTTGAAGATAATCAAATGGGCTTCTCCACCTTTTCAATGGCTTCCTATTTTTAACATAATGGGTATGAAGATAATTGCAGGAGTAATGAAGCCACCTGCTACTTTGGAGCAATTGTATCTGGAACTTTTTATTCACTAACTTCCTGTTTCATAAGAAACCTGAGAGAAGAAGACCAGGTCAAGGAAGGACTCACACCTTGAAGCTCGTCTAAATTCTCTCCCCTAACCACTTCCACTTCCTGTATTTTTAAAGGCTATTTTTGTAACAAATATCTATATTTCTTCCAAGATTATGACCCTTATTTTAGCCTTTCCACTGTGCTCCACATTCTTTTCTATCCATCCACTTCAGACCTTGAACATCAACTCCATTCTTTCATTTTGTTAGCTAGCAGGCACTTTATCCTTGCTCAAGTCTTTCATTTCCTTTTCCCACAGCAGGAAACTGTGGATTCACAAATCTTGAGCAGAGTAATCTTTCCTTTACTTACTGCACACAGCTGCCTAAAATCTCCACAGATGGCATGTGTTTGAAGTGTCTTGTCACTTTCACATTCTTCCTTAAACCAAAAATCTCTTATTTCTGCTCACTTAAAAAGTGAATTAGTACAGATGCCCACCAGGAATAACATTATTTTGTAAATATTATGCATAAACATTTCACCTCTTTCAAATCACCTTTCTGTGAAACATTCTCCGTTTTTCAGATCTGACCAGGTACATTAACAGGAACTTTTTATTTTTTTTATTATGTTACACCAATACTTCATTAATATCACAGTACCTGTAACACCCTCTCTCTGCCCCCTTCCAAAGGGGAAAAAAAAAGTTTTAGAAGCATGTTATGCACTGAATTACGGTTTTGTGTGAATCATTTTATGAAATACTCCCAGGGGCTCTTACTGCCTTTTTAACATTGTGTTAGCATTTGCACCTTTATTACCTTTTCATTACTCTAAAGAAAAAACAGTAAATCAGCTTCTGTCTAAACATTGCATTTGAGAGTATTACAAATTCTCCCTAGCATGATTATTGTTTTCTAGCTTTAAACAGAACCACAGAGAAAGATTTATGCCTGCTCTCATGGTTCTTACGTTCTACACACTTGAAGAATCTTATTTTTCTGTTCTGGTAGGAATTTTTCCGCAAACTGTTAGTGTAGATAGCTAGATTACCAAACATTTGCTCAATAATAGGTAGTTCTTATATGTGAGACCAGTCTTTGAGAACGACTATCTTATCAAATTATTTATACATCTATTTTTTAAATTAAGAAAAATCTCTTATTGCATTCCCAATAAAGTGGAAATTCTGAAACGAATAGTATTTTTTCATTTGAGTTTTACACGAATGAGTTATTAGTTTACACAATGCAACTTAAGAATGCTGTAGTATCACAAACCATGCAAATGTTTATTTCATTTCAAGTAATCAGATGCTACGAGTGATGGGCAAATTTGTCCAGGAGGGTATAACTTTCTTTTGGAAGTTTAGATCTAACTTATATTAAAAATGGGTACAAAAGTAATTCATGATAAACTGAGTGATTTTTTTCTTCCTTCTCTAGGCTATTATACTGTGGAAAGAATATTTCAATAATCTCATATTACATGTGGCTACATATAGGTGAAAAATACATACTAAAATCTTAATATAAACATATGAGAATATCAGAAAATACTTTGCATGGTCTCAAAAGTCATTTGGTATCTATACATATTATTTCTTCAGTATACAGAAACAAAAGAACAGGTAAGACAGGTGCACATAAGAGTCAGCCCATGACAATTTTAACTGGATGATATTAGATGAGTTCATCCACAATAACCATGAATGTAGGTTAGAAAGCATAGGAACATCACTGTAGCCATTCTGAATTTAGATTAGGACCCATGGATGTTTCCACAATTTCTAAAAAAACTCACACAAGTTAATACAAATATGAAACAACACAGGCCATACATTTTCAGTTTGGAGATCTAGTGCTATAGATTTAATCTCTGTACTATTGTAGTGAACTGAAAGACTATAACTGAATGTAACGTAATGGATCAGGCCACGGATAAAGAAGAAAGCAAATTTAAATTTCATAACTGGTTTAGAAGTTAACATTACATTCTACTAGAATTTCATCTCAGTGTTTTTATACTTTGCTAAAGGCAATGGAAGTCACTGGTTATTAACTGAAATAGAGAGCAGGACACAACTAATTGATAATTATGGGTAATTTACATTTGTTTTGATAATGTGAAATACTACCGACCTTTCTGAAAAGGCTCTTAGTTTCAGGGTAAATATAATAAACTGAAAACTAAGACTGAAAAACTTGTTCTGTCATTACCTCCTTTTTTTTTTTTTTTTTTTTAATTGCAATTCCTACAACTGATTTGCAACTGATAAATAATACTAAAATACTATACTAAAGTACTAACATAATAAAAAAAAAAACCCTCTTTTAATTCTCATTTTAAAAATATGTCTTTTCATAAGAGACTTCTGCATCATACTCAATTTTATCTCTGCATTTGCTCAGAAATTTTCATCAAAATATCTTTGAACACTTCACAGACGTAATGGATTCCACCTTGAACGTCTTTATGCAATGCACATATGCACAAATTAAGCTGTGTTATTAATAATGTACAAATGTGGAACTATGAAATTTACTAAGGGGATGTATATAAATTATGAAAGGCAACATGGATGTGCACATATTTCTTAACCACAGAATCATATTTCCTCAGTGAACAGAAACTAAGAAATGAAGGCAGGATTAATTGTAAACTGTGAGGAAAAAATGGATTTACCTTTTTTTTTTTTTTTTTTTTTTTTTGTCTTGCCTGTAGTGGATTGAGCTAATCAATCCTTGACATAATGAAGACTGCTTTAAAAGCTGAATTGACATCGCATTTATATTCAACTAGGAGTTCACAGAATAAGTCCATTTGTTCAAAGCCCTCTGCTTTGCTCCATTTTCTCTCTACTATGTTACACTAAACATTATGATACCCTAAAGATTTCAAATTAATTTTGACAAGTAAACTTTGATTTTAATTGAATATTATTGAGTTGTTTTTTACTCTTTATTGAAAAATTGTCTTATTAGTCTCATCAATTTATTAATTCCTCAGCATCAAATACTTCCCAAATAGTTCTGAAAGAAGTGGATGGTTATGTTATCAACAGGACAATTCAAAGATGGAAAACAAACTGATTAAGCATAAACTTGCTCTGTCCTGCTTGCAACTAAGACAAAGAAAAATGCCATTACTGAAAATAATAAGATCAACCTCAGTGTAGATTCTGCCCTTCAATATCACATCAGTTAAATTTAATAAACAGATCAATTATATTCAAAGAACAAACAGAAAAAATCTGCCCTTGGGTATACGTGTCTACTATGATTGTGAAAGGAAATAATCACTTGCATCCAAGGACTGAACTAATCTGTGCTTTCTTACTGTTAGTGGAATTCTTCCTTTGTACATAAATTTATCATGGAAAGCCTAAAGAAATACAAGCTATGAATGGATCAGAAGAAATTGTCCATTCTATCTAATAGGAGATCTATGACAATAATTAAAACCCTGATTCCGAAGAATAGAAGAATATAGTGGAAGTTTCAAATGCTTAATACTGGAAATATTTGGACTAGATTCTCTGCTCTTTGGCTTGACAGAAGATTGCAAATTGAGCATAACACCCTACCAAATAGGCATGGTAGCATTTTATAAACAATTAGTAGAACAAATTGCAGAACAGGAAGAATCAGACAGCAAGATAAATGCAAGGCTTTAGTAATTACCTGTGTTTTATCTGGATCAGCCTGTATGGCAAGAAAGGGCAAAAACACAGAGACGTTCTCTAATTGTTACCCCAGAAACTGCACTTAAAGCTGTTAGTTTAAGTGTTTGTAAAAAGATAATGTGGAAACAAGCAGTTTTAATGGATTTATCCTATTCTCCCGAGGAGTACTGGGATAGATATCAAATGTTTAGTTTAGATCTAATGCACTTGCCCATACGGGGAAATTTAACGGTGCATCTAGTAAAAAAACAAAACAAACAAAACAAACCCACTAGTTAATCTCCATACATGGATAAGTCCTGAAAGTAAAAAACGGAGTCTTCAACATAATAGAACTGGGGCTGGGAGAATAACAGTTTTTTTGCAGACATATGGTCTGATTTTTATGTGGTCCTGTGTGGAGCCAGGATTTGGATTCAATGATCCTTGTGGGTCTCTTCCAACTCAGAATGTTCTATGATTCTGTGAGGAAAGCTTGTATGAAGTGGCTTAATTTGAAGTTTAGGATTAAGCAAGATTAAAAATATCATGAAGGTTGCTTGTTATATTCAAGTTTCTTTTTCTCTAAGGTTTTAT